AATATATTTTCGGAACAAGTTAAATGTCTGTAAAACACTATAGAGATTATAGGCATATCATAAACCCTACATATATAGTTCTCTTCTTCTTCTCAGAAGTCCACTTAGGCCTATTCAATTGCTTTAGAATTTCAGTTGACAAGCCGAAATATCTTCTCCATTACTATCGCAATAGTATTCTGTGTTTGATTCACTTACAATTGTGGCGCGAGTTACCGTAATCGTTTGGTCTTCTTTCTTCTAAATATCCTCTGTTCCCTTTGTCAAGGTGTGCGCAAGCTGATTCAACTACTTTAGAACCACACTTTGACGGAATAAATTATTATTATCATCTCCTTTTCTACTGTTAGTCTTACACTAACATATCAATCGTTAGGCCTAACACTTCTGCGGTAGTTAACTTCTCGCCGAACTTTTCCTTGCCCGTAACTTTACTCTGTCTCTCTGCTGTTTTTTGTTCGTTTCACACTATTTATATGTTTATCACTTAATCGTCTGTCCGCTTCAAGAAATCTCTATATTCTCGACGTCAATGTATTGCACGCGACGTTCGACAGTCTCAACATCAATTACTTATGAACACAACTTCCTACAATTGTCTGCTTTTAACTCTTATTATAACAAACAAAACATTCACTCACAAAAATAAATTAATCAATAATATCTAAACTAAACAGTCTTTTATATCACGACATTCACAATAGCTGTTATTTACACCGAATAATGCTTTAAGTATATAGTATAAGTATATAAATATCCGGCATACTGTAACACAATTCAGGTTGAAATAAGTCCAATTAATGCGATTAATATTGATATTTGCAGAGAACGATACTACCACGAGATAAACTAGGCATATGGCGCATCTCACACATGCGCAGCCGCGTTGACGAGTCCCATTTTCTATTTCAAAACCGTGCCAATCGAAAAACTCCCTAATGTGAAAACCGTTTTAAAACAAAACGCGCTAAACAAGGGAAGCCAGATACCAAACTGGTTTCTGGCACAAATCAATCTGTATTTTAAAAACTGAATACGAGTAATCGTTCAAGAAACAGCAAGAGAAGTGACTGTTTCTAGTTATTTTGGCTCACAATCGTCAAGTTCTTCAAACAACCTTACTTTCTAAACATTAAACCAACTGGTACTTTAGAATTTTTTACTCAGTTTTTACTTAAAGAAAGGACATAACAATAAGCTCTTAGTACGTATGCAGGGAGGTGGCTTCGAGGGGGTCCGGCTGAACCCTCTATTTTTGTGATGGGGAAAAAATGCATATATTTATTGATTTTTCATTGGATGTTTGTAGATTTTAATGCAAATGGCTAAGTTATATTTCATACAATTAGTTAAGCTATATTTCATCAACATTGCTTCCAGATTTAATCTCATAGCACCTATTTTTTTACAAATTTTCATGCTTTGCATGTTGCACAATCTTTGTTGACTTGGCTTGTTGTTAATCATTAAAATATAAACAGATCGTGAGATTTTAAAATTCCTGGAAAAAAACGAGAACATTAATATGTACGATATAAAAATGTATATGAATTTCTAATAAGCGGCTACTCTTATCATTTTCAAACGCTTAATTCGCGAGATAGCACGCGAACTTACGAGATTTGACCTAACAAGGAGCTCAGTGATCACACTTTCACAAGCACCACCTTTTGGCAAAAACATTAGGGTTTGTTTTAATGTATTTTACGGGCAAATTTAGAAATCTTAGGGACAGCTATGATATTCTTAGGTTTTTTACATCAGAAACATACTTTTTTTTTTCAAACAAATAATATATAAACATGAGTGATTTTGTTCCATAATTCTGTTTACTCTGAATCATAGTCTTCAGCATCGGTTACCACTTCATACACGTTACCAAGGTGATGTGGAACTATGTGTGGAGTATGCTGATAATTCACTGGTAAAAACTGGCTTGAAACAGAACCTACATAATATTTAAATTCGATGACGAGGAACCCACTTTGAGACTAATAATGGCTGAAGACGGCTTGAATGGGTAATGAAGAAAAACTTTAATATAACAGCAAATGTACAACGTTCCGACAAGGTTTTGTCATCATAATATTTAGCTAGAAAACATTAATTCAGTAGATACAAAAACAAAAACGTGGATTGGATTTATATAATTCAGTTTCTTCGGAAAACACGAAAAATTTAGGAATTCCCAAACAAATTAGGACTATTTTACAGAAACTCCCTTTTAATTGACAATTGTTTTGGTACTTTTAGCAAAATCCCCAAATTCTACGAACTTTAGGGACATTTCAAAACCTGTTTCCCCAATACATAATTACTTTGTGTTCGATATTTTTCAACTTTTACGTAAAACATACCGCAAAATGGCACCATATCGTTTCCCCCTAAAATGGTTTTTGCACCCGGTTTTGAAACAAAACCTTTGATAAAGAAAGAACACGTGCTTACAAGTCACTGAAAGCACACAACTATTTTGAGGAAGAATATGTGCAAAAAATAAACAAAGGAGTGACTTCGAGAATTATTTTCTATGTCACAGAGAACATGACAGACATTTGTTTTTCTTGACCCTAATGGAAATGTGATGGATGTACAAGGAGTGGGGGATGTGTTGTAGCCTTTTTCTATTCATTATTTTGTAAATGGAAATTTGTTGATCAAGATATTACTTCATAAATAACCATCTATGTCACTGTTTGTAACCAGTGTAAAACTTCACCTGCTCGTGATAACACTTATCTCATGTATTATTGAAGTAATTATGCTAATAATAAAATATTAAGATCCCAACTCACGAGTTTACGAATTTACGTCACAAAGAAACCCAGCGTTCTCCATTACATCACTTGTCTAAACATTTAGGGAACACTCTGTTTTATAATAATCGTGGTTTGCTCTACATAGTGTATTACGCTGAATATAAATAACTTTAAATACACGCGCAATGAATACAAACAATCTGGACTGTATTTAAGGGCTAGAAATTCCCCCCGGTAACTTTCTGCTTGACCAGCGCCTACTATGAGTTAACTAACAATTGTCAAGTTTCAAAAATTAACTGAATTTAGGAAGTAAAGGAAAAGGAGGACCCTGAGACCCCCCCCCTTTCCAATTCTAGTTTTTTGGGAAACCCTTCTACTTCCAAACTTGGAGGTTTCTCAGATACAATTACATATCCTAACCGATAGAATATTTGAACAGCCAAAAACTTAAGATATATGTGAAAAAGAAAGTTTTATCCAGGTATAAATATTACAAACATATCCATAGTTGATATAATGGCTATAAAAAAGTATACAAAATTTCAGATTTCCGATATTATACATGCATACGACTCTTGAAATTTTATACAGTGTGTAAACAATCAACCAGTTGTAAACAAATGTACTGCAGTATCCCATGAGGAATTTTCTACCAAACATTTGGAAATATCTGTATATTGCATCTGAAGAAGAAAAGTCCACCTTTCGAAAGCGCTTTATATGGTTTTTATTCATTTCTATCAAGACTTCTTGAACCTACGTGTTTTTCTAAAATCATGAATGTCTACAAAATAAGTTATTTTGAATAAATCTGCAACAAAAGTCCCGCTTACCCACTGTCAATCAATGCCAATGTCAATCAACTTAATTGAATCGCATTATGACATTCATGTTTACGTTATCCCATTAAATTCGCAGTAAACTTGTTTTCCTTCATCAACGGTACAAATTACCACCAAGTTATCCGTCCCTTATTTCGAGTTGATAAGTTACGAGGAAAGTCAACAGCACCCACTGACAACTTTTGTTTGTTTGGTTTGTTTTTGAACTTCGCGCAAAGCTACACGAGGGCTATCTGCGCTAGCCGTCCCTAATTTAGCAGTGTAAGACTAGAGGGAAGGCAGCTAGTCATCACCACCCAGTAGCTTACGATTGGCGATAGGTGGTGTTACTAGTTTCTCCCTTAAAAATTAGGAATTACTAGCGCAGACAGACTCTGCGTAGTTTTGCCCAAAATATAACCCATAACAACGGTTTACACGTTTTGCGCATATATTTCCAATGCCACCTTGCAAGCTCCTCGCGACCAGGTGTGAAAGTTAGCAGAGCCCGAGGGTTGGAACACACTAATAATATAAGAAGCTGGTGGTTAGTGCAGTTTCTATTATTTTATGAAACACTGGGAACACTGCTAGAGGTGACATGTTACATTAACAGAATAGAAAGATTGACATCAAGGATTTGTTGACGTTTAAGTGTTATCGCTACTCTTTTTCTATGTATAAACATATTGGTTCTTGTTACATTTTAATATGACTACTTATATTCGACAAACTTCTAATGCGATTATTTTTGTCCTGTCAAATGGTAAACACAAAATGACACTCTTAAAACGGACTGCTATAATTAGCATAAGGGTAATTTTTAATTATCGCCTTATGACTTCATTAATTTATTTCAAGTTTAATGACTTTAGAAGATCATGAGGAAGTCGTAAACAACTTTTTATAAACTCAGCTTCTCGTAGGAATAAGCTGTTGATTGTAAACTATGACGTTCCCTTGTAGTTACGTTGTACTAAAAACATGTTTTTTGCGGTCTATAAATAACTAGGTCATTTGAAATACGCTCAAAAACAAACTAGTTAAATCTGTTTTGAGATAATATTCGAGAGATGGTAGTTTTATTTCTGTACACGAATAGCTGTCTCAAAACTTCACATTGTTCGTAAGTAGGTATTTCTTAAAAAAGCAAAGAGTTAAATCCGTGTTTCAATTGGTTTAAGGCAGTAAACAAACCAAATAGTCTCAGTTAATATCAATATCCTGGAATTACACTTACAGACTCAAAATTCCAAAGGCTTATCTTATGACTAATATGGATTAAAACATATTATTTGGACATATTAAAGCATTATAAAAATTAATTGAAATACCAATGATTAGAAAAAGAGCTATAAAACCACACCAACATTAAGTTATTTAATTTTAAATAGTTAAGAAAAGAACCAATTCTTACCATTCCTTCTTTTCACGAAGTCCCTAACTCGTCTTACGTTCTCACTTTCCATCAGCGGTTGATAAAAGTCAGGTGCTTAGTAGCTTTAACGTGGTTGGTTAGATGGAAATATCGTCTGAGATACTGTCGAATCAAAAGCCGATTCGCTTGTGCGATTCTCGAAAAAAGAATTATCATAAAATTTCGCAATTCAACTTACATTAGATACTTATCTAATAATATTCGATCCATACTTGAAGAAGATAGTTTATATATGTAACCATTACCATTACAAATGGGATTAAAAATGTTTTAGGACATTGAACTCAGTAGGCCTGATGAAGACTCTATACAGAATACCAAGCGAGGTGAAACATAGCCAAACAAAGACACTTTTTCTTTATGTATTTAGCTTTAAAAATGATCTGACATCTGTTTAATGACAAAAGAAAATGGACGAACGTAAATACAGTTTATTTACCCTTACTTACAGTTGAAAATATCGCTAACGGTGAAAGTAGCCGACTAATGAAACAATCTATTCTAATCACTATAAGAACGTAAGTAGAATATATTAGATTAGCTGTGTTCATTACTAGATTGATTTTTGATTCTGATCTAAGCTTGCTCTGATCAGAAGTTGGTGTTAACAAGAGATTCGTTGCTTTTTGTATGCAATAATTTAAGCAGTTGACAAATTTTACATCTTAGTGCCACATAACCGATAAACTTCGTTTACTACGTTTACTCTCAACCCATTTAAGCCTTTTTTGAAAAACTACTGTACTGCAAGCTTTCAAATTAAGTTATCATTCTGTAGAGAATCTGAACTCTGTAGTTAATACGAAACAAGTAGGGACGCGTAATATTATTATTAGTTACTTTGTAATTCTTCATCTCTGACATAAATGTTTATTTGCTTGAAACAATGGATTTGAGGCGAGGGACTGAGAAATCAATTTAAAAAACGCTAAGTGGGGAAAATATATTTTCGAAAAAAAACAACATAGGATGAAACCTACACCAGGTGGCGATTTGAGAAACCACAATTGCTGATGTCAATTCGATATTTTCCTTTCATGCATAAACGTTTACCAGACTTTTGAATTTTCTTTCATGTATTTCTCAAACAGGGGTTGTCGTCGAAGGTGGACGCCAAACGAAAAGGGAAATATAAAACAAAATGAAGTAAGAAAAAACAAAAATCAACTTCCTGTTCAAATAATAATTTCTGAGATGAAATAATATATCAATATTTTTAGTAACAGAATCATAAGGAAGTGAAAAAGTGTACTAAATTTGAAGAGGGGCACGCCAGCTTCAAACGTTTGAAAATCACTTGTTTATTGCATGCGTAAGTTTTCCTGGTGGCTGTTTGACACATCACGTCAGTTATAGTAGTATCTACAGGATTGTTAGAGATACACGTCCGTGAATATTTAGAAGGTTACAGATTATTGTACGTGTTTAATGCAATTTAAGCTATAAGTTTTCAACGTTTAGACATCCCATTTGATTTCGTAACCTTAAAATTTATATGTGTATTATACTTAAAGCCTTTAATTGGATACGAATTATTAATTTTTTCTACATTTTCATAGACACATTTTTGCTATATTTAAAAATGTCATTGGTTTTACTTCTCAAATTTTCAAAAAAAAACAACAACTAAAATTAAAACGTCAAAGCCTATTATAATATCCGCATTCGCCAGCTTACCGCTTGGTGGGCTAGCTACTAACAGTTTTGTTTTGTTTAAATTTTTGAAACATGATTCATCTTTTTTTCTTTGGCAATGTACCAACTGTTTTTAAGAGAAACCTGAATTAAATCTACTGACATGTTTTGAAATTCGCTGGATCATAAGACCAATTACATGGTAGAAAAAAAAAAAAGATCCAGTTCAATCATGTGAATTGTCATTTTGTGCAAGAACCTAAGAAACACGCACGTGGCGTGAAGGATTAAAAGTCCGTTACTATTATAGCTGCCAATGAACACTTCATAATTTTAATAAGTTAGCCTTCATTTAACAGCTAAAATAACGTATATTTTCATTTATAAATGGAAAACGTTTTAACTCGCAATAACCTTCATAACAAACGGCTCGATACTCCTCATATGCTTGATTTACAAACAAAACAAAAACAATTGTATAATACATTTTCAATATTTATAAAATGAATATGTTAAACGTTGTTGGAATAAGAATTACATGTTTTCGGG